ACTGGACCACCACGTTTGAGATATCTATTTCACGTACTTCAGACACAAACCACGGTAGCTTATTGTAGAACACTACCTATACTGCCGACTATTCGCACTATTCACCGACTATCCACTGACTATTCTCTTTTTATCAATTGCCTAATTTGGCATCAGGGCAAAACGTCTGTCATTCGATTTCCCGGAAGGTTCTTGAAAGCGAAACGATTTAGTAAATTGTGTGTGTGTGTGTGTGTGTTTTATGTATTCGGAATAACTTTTCGAAACGGTTAAAACAACAGCTAATTTTTAGCTAATCAAAATTCAGCAAGATTCGCGCCTCTGGATTTTCGCTTCTGAGCATGCGCTGAAGCCGAACAGCATAAATTAATAAATTAAATTCTGAAAAAATGTAAATAAAACATGGCGTCCGTTGCTAGGGTGCTGTTTAGTACTTTATTTCTCTTTAATTTGGTATTTAATTTAAACGGAGGTACGTATGTATTGATTTTATACAAATATTTTATTCCTTTTATATAAATATGATGTTAGCTGCTTGATTTGGTTAATTTTGTAGCGATGAAATATATTTACACTTCTTGATTTTTTGTATAAAACGCGATAAAGACAACACATATCATTTTTACTTTAAATTGGAAATCAGGAGTAATAATTTCTTTCTATGATCGTAAGGTGATTTCAGAAAAACTATCTGTGGCCGTCAAATTGATGTATTGATAATAACCAAAGATCATGACCAAAACATGTCAAGCTATAAATTTGATGACATTAGTCATATAATATTTGTGACAATTAATATTTCATAAATGTTACAATTAATATTTCAAATTGTGGCTCATAACCTATTAAGCAATGTGCCCCAATTTGTTATTTTACGTACTCCTTAAAACAACAGCAAAAAATGTATGCTACTGCAATATAGCTGGGACAGACTATGGCAATTCTCAATATCGTTTTGAAATTATAATATAATTATAGCTGTCATAACCAGATTAGGGATGAATTAAAGTATCAATTAAAGCAACAGTCCATTCCACATTTTCTCCCAAACTACACTACTTGCCCACTAATTGGCCTATACTGTAGAATATTCCACCCTGAAGAAATTTATAGTTGCCGACATTGTTAATTAACTTACTTGATCATGCTGGAATAGATGCTTGTTATCCACCAATTAACCCCAAACGAATCGAGATCTCTGATCACTGGGAGAAAGACGGAGTCAGTTATCAAGAAAAACAAATTAATGAACTTATTGTTAAACGAGGTGCCTATCATCTTCGTCTCGTTTGTAAGATCGACCCGCCGTTACCTAAAACAGAAGAACATTTTGAATCAAGGAACCATTTAGTTAGGTTTGAGAAAATATATCCTGAACATCATGTTCTGACTGGTCCGAGATATTGGTCAGACAGCCAACAGATCTCGGCTGTTGCTCTCGATATTGGCCTGGTGGAATTGTTTGGCACATATGCTTGTGTGTATGGAGAAATGAGAAGAACTGTCGACATATTAGGTAGGTAATTGCAGTGAATTTTAATGACATTTTAAGGTTTTTTTTAGGAAAATTAAATTTAAGGAATTTTAGAACCCATGCCCAAGATTTGGCTGCGATGTAATTATTCAAAAGGGCAGTTAACTGTGAGCACATGCTGAGTCACTCCCAACTATAAAATTACAACAGTAAACAGCTTTTCGAATTTTAAAATAGCTTTGTTCATACTGTCTTATGAACTATATAGGCCTACTGTTGAGTGAATTCAGTGTTGCGATTTATACTAGAGTCCACTACAGTACAGACCACATATTTGGATAAACAAATGGAAACATACAACTTTGCAAGCTTTATAAATCTGAATGTACATACCCTAATTTTCCTAGTTTGAAACACAAACTACTAACAACTTGAACAGCATACCTGTCCTTGTGCTTTACCAAGACCAAGACTGTTATGCCATCAGTTCTTCCATATAATCCTGTTAAAACTTAAAACAGCTAGGCCTAGGGCACTATGTCTATGTAAAACAGCACTAAACGTTTAGACAGTCTTCTGAAATTCTTTGACTTTCAACCTCGTGAATACTAGGCACGGGTTTGCTTTGCAAATACATAATGAATAACTGCATTCACACGACTCAGGCCCGTTTCATACGCCGTACTTCACATTACAAACAATAGATAATCCGAGACATTTCAGCTCATTATCTATTGTCTTTAATTCAGTATTCGGCACATGTGAAGTACGGAGTATGAAACGGACCTCATTGACTCGTCATAACACAAAAGAAAATTTGACCTCTGGAGATTAGATTGGAATTTCCTTTGTTTTTAGCCTTAATACAGCTAGGGGTGTAAAAAAGCGAGACCTGCACAGTACAGGGGGTGTCCCAAAAAACCACAAAACTATTAAAATAACGTATTGTTGGAATTTGAATGCCCAGCACTAAGATGAACGCAAAGATGCGTAAAATATTGACAGGGTGCATATTTTATAAATATTGATTTATTAAGAAATAAATAAAAATATCTTTGTAAAGCGCACGATTTTCTGCTCATGGACATGGGAATTAAAAACGCGGGTTCAGTTAGGCTCTTAATAAAAACAGTGTTTATCCAATAAGAAATTTCAGAATTGTTGTATATTCATCCCAAACTACAAGAAAATATTATGTTGAACATTTCGATTGTTAATTCACTTTAGCGAATAACGAAGAAATGGTGAAAGATCTACCAGCTCCTGTGACTTTGGAACATGTGATGTCATCCACTTTTATAAAGAAACATTTCATGGATAGCAATTTAAACAATGCATCTTACCATCCCGTAAGTTGTAAAATTTTAATATGATATTGAGTTGTGCTTTATATTGAATATGTTGTTCAACCTGATTTTTGTTACATGAAAAATTTTTCATTGAAACATATTAAGTCATTTTGTTTCGTCTGCAGATTATCGAAAAACCCGACTTTCATTGTGAAGTAAAGAATTCTGGATTACAAGCAAAATCAGGTAAACTAAACTGAACTATAAATTATGGATAGGTCTGTCAGTTTTCGAAACTGTTTTTCCTTTTTTAGGGAGTTCCTATATAGACGTCCAGTATATACGGGTCATTCTAGGAGGAAACCTAAATTAAACTCACTCATTATTTATACTGGATTAGTGGATAGTTTTTTAGATTAGACATTGACAATGTGCGCCCAAATTGTAATGGCATTTGTTTTTTCCCTGTCTAGTTCACCGAGTAACCGCAACAGATATCAGTGTGGTGGCGTCCCTAGGCGACTCTATTATGGTATAAACAAAAATATTATTATAAAAACATATAATCTTTTACTATATTTCCAGATAAAGAGAAGCGTTTTAGTGTGATGTTCTTTTTTGCATGTAATGACAACTTTTCTCGAAAAGTTTCCCCAATTTGAAACGAGATGTCATAACAGGCACATGTGATTCTTTTAGATCGGTTTGGGTGCAAGGGGGACAACAATGGCTGATTTCTTCACAGAATACCGTGGGATATCATGGAGGTACATTCTGTGAACGTTTTTACTGTTATGATTTTATCCTTACTAGTATTGAACTCTCACTTCGAACGTATATTTCGAACGTATATTTGTTGAAAGAAACCATTTATTACTAAATTTTCAAACTTCTATCGAGTCGTATTTTCGGCTTTCAACTTTGTGTAAAATCGAAGCGTCTGTGGCAAAAATACAATACACACGTGACGGTGAAGGACCAGATTTATGAATAAACGTTGACTAAGGTAGATAATGAGTTATTGTTATTCTAACGAGTTTCATAGCTATCTTCCCTTCGATAGGCTATGGCCGATATGTTCATCTATCTTTTAATGTTGAAACCTCTGCCAGAAAATTAAGTTATGTTCATGCATAAATCAGTTAATATGTTCATGCATAAATCGTTCATATACAAGACAAACGTCTCTTCCAATTTTCATCCGAATCAAAATTTGATCAATTTGTCCTTGGACAATGTCCGTTAGCCTCACAAATTTTCGTTTAAATACGTTTGATGTTTTGTGAGCTATCGTTTTGACAGACAAACACAAATATACAAATAGAAACCATTCAGGTTTCACATGAGCTTCCTGGTGGAGGAAACAATGAATGTAAAACACTAATATCGTATTTTTCAGCAATGGTGGTGACGCAGATTTGCAGGATGTTTTGACTCTGCCTAGTAAGTACAATCTAGGTTTATCACTGAGTAAACTATTGATAGAATAATTGTTTAATTTGCCTCAAGTAGAATCAAGCCTGATTGCGATCAATTATCGCTTAATCAGGGGCGTAGGAACCGGGGGGCAGCAGGGGGGTGGCCAGGCCCCCCAAGTTTTGGCAAGTGCCCTTTTTCCAGGAGCAAAGTACCTTTTTTTGCGTGAAAAATTTTCATTAAAATTGCATTTTTTGCCCAAAGGGCACTTTTGAAAACTTCAATCTATGTTATTTCCGGACAAATGTTTTAATTTCCGGGAAAAATATGATATAGCCGGAAAATTGTTTCGTATTTAGTAAAAAATGTGGTTTATCCGGAAAAATTTGGCATCTCAAGAAAATCTTTTTAGCCCTAAAATGGTACACTGATCGAAAAGTGACCCTCAAAGCGTGCCCCCCCCCCCCCAACTTTTCGAAGCTTCCCTACGCCCCTGCGCTCAATTACAACACATGATATTGATAGAGTATAAGTTTTTACTAATTAAAATAACTTTTTACTAAATGAATGTAAATTTTTTTGTCATTGAAAGATATATTGAGGAAATTCAATCCGAAGCTTAAGGGTTATTCAACGAACATAGCAAGACACTACGAGAATAACTCAGGATTAAATTTCGCCACAGTCTCAGCTACTTCCAGGTTTGAAATAATTTTCTATCTTCTAATACAATTATATTCGGTTTGGTATCAAACCTCAAACCTTGGTGATTATGGAACAATGATCACGATTTATCGCTCTTTTGCAGACATTTAGAAGAACAAGTGCGCCAACTTATAACGAAAGTTAAACAAGATAAGGTGAAGAGTATAAATTTGTACTAGACAGTATCGATGTTTTAATCAACCATACTTGTGGAAAAAAGTTTTATTTTTCAAATTCATTTTGGGCTGCGAAGCGCCGCAGGCGTCGAGAGTACGAGAGCATGCTCTTTTAAACTTTTCTTCTGGTTGTTTTAATAGACTATTGATTTTAAAGAAGATTGGAAGCTAGTTAACATTATGTCTGGCACAAGAGATCTTTGCAGGCTGTGTGGTGATATGGTAAATCATTTTAAAAACTTTATTTATA